TAGTATGTATCGACTGTTTGGCTGTGCACTCCAGGTATTGACCATAGAGGTTCACTTTCTTTTCCCGTCCCTAAAAGTAGGCCTAGTCCCTGTCCTCCTTACGCATTCTCACTTACCTTGTATGTATTGGGAGTTTGACAGCGATCAGTGAAGTTCCCTTCACTGCATTATGCTGCACAATGATGATGATGAGAGGCAGTGGCCTTACTTAGCCCCGGTTTACACGTAAACTTCTTTGGTTCTCTATAGGTAGCTTGTTAAACGAAAAGCCGCCACGCTAACAGCTCTGCTGATCGTCCCGATACACTGAAAATGTTTCAGTTTCAGTTTGTACAACCATAACCATGCACTTTCTTACACCGGTTTTGGCTGCTATCTTGGCTCCTGCCCATTCGGATGAACAGTAGAAGAAAGACGGGAAGGTTGAAAGTAGAATGGAAAAGAAAATTGAGAATTTCAGTGGACTAATGTTGCAAGGAACTTGAGATGGACGAACGCCACTGTTTACGACTTCCAGCAATGTCACTCAGTATCTCTAACCATTGATTACACTGATCTCGAGTTCCCCATCCAGGGAGCCTAACGGGACCTAAGCGACCCAGTCTCCTGTTTAGGCCTAATGTCAGGTCTTAGCTTGACCACCCTTGGCTTTCTTGCACCCATTGCTTGCCTCGGCGAGCATTGCTCGTCCGGCTGCCCCACCAGCTTCGTGCAATGCTGCGCAGACAGTAGTGTTTAAACAGCAACAATCTGTGTCGGTGTGTAAGTTGGCGTTGTCCGTCACGCGGTTGAGAATAACCTCTCCAGCGAAAATCAGGTCTTATTGCAAGCCTGGCAGGGGTCTAGACTTATTTTTACGCTCATGAGCTACAAGTTGGGAACCGTCGATCACTACCTACCTTGGGAGTTGTCTCAACTCCAGAGAACTGATAAAATAAATCTCAACGCTTATCCACGAGACCCGAGTGGTTTTCGCTTAACTGTGTCACTTGTGATGTCGACGCCATCTCAGTCTCTTCTTGAAAGGTCGCGTTTGCTAAATTAGAATACGACCAGTCTTACTCGACGGCTGCGAGAGCTGGTCGCTTGACACAGAAGACGTTCATTGCATCGCCAGAATACGTTGGCAGCAGCGAATCACCACCAATGAGTTTTGTCGAAGGATCTTCGCCCCAGACATACTTAGTTGTCCTCCTTGTGTTTTTATCTCGCTGCAGAGACTTCGATGCTTAAGCATGTCTTGCGGATGCCGGCTCCACGACTACCCCGTTATGTTTGAGTAAGCCGACACTATCTTCAAGCGGCGACTAGGTAGCTCTGATATCGGATTCCTGGTCATCTGCACTCAATAACGTAGGAGAAACTCACGTGTTCTCGCGAGATATTTCAGAGGGCCTTCGATGGCGTTTGACATGAA